GGGCTGGCCGCGCAGCTGCGCCTCACCGTAAACCTGTCTGCTCTTTCCAAAGTTCTCAGCTCGGATGTCCCAGGTCGGGGCAGGGAAGGGAGAGGTGCTTTTTGCCGACTGCGCTCCTGGGATTTGACTAAGCCAACCACAGGACGCTTGATTCGGGCTCGAGCCGAGTGCTACGGTCGATTGCTCCGACCGCACCGATTCACTGCAGCACTCCGATCACCTCTTATCAATTTTATTCTGTTACGCTACAGCCGACACTCACCAACTCTCAGCTCTGCGGCAGACTCCGATCCCCTCTTATCAATTTTATTCTGTTACGCTACAGCCGACACTCACCACCTCTCAGCTCTGCGGCAGACAGCTCGGGAAAAATGGAGAGCGGCGCTGCTTTTACCTCCTGACTGAAACAACAAGGAAACAGCACGTCAGTGCCTGCCAACGGCAGATACGGCCGGCCGCAGCCCGGCTCCTCACCTCTCACGCCCCGAGCCCTGCGTGACGGCTAGGCAACGGGGGAGAGGCGTCAGTGCAGCGGGACGTGGGAGTTTAACTCGGCCGGGTCCTCCTCTCTGCTTTCCTTTCCTATTTGTCCATGCAAATGACAGCCTCACAACCCGTTTTCCCGCGGCGAGCCAGATCCGCCCCGACAAAGCGAGACTTCTCCAGCCCCTAAGGCAGGAGCAGCACCTACGGGCAAGATGAAGGCTCTGAGCGGAGGAAGCTGCTCGGTGTAACTGTCAATCCACTGCTCCAGCTCCAGGATGGGCTTCTCGCTGAAGGATGTTCGTTCTGCAGAGGGAAAAAGAAGAACCGGCTGAAAGAAACGCATCGGCGATTCAGTCTACAGAGAGCTCTGCTTTCCTATTTCTTGGATCAGTAAGCACTAAGGAAGCAACCCAAAAAAATCCTCCCGGTTGATAGAGGGGATTGTAAGAAAGGTGAAACTATAACAAAAAAGCCTTAATATTTTCTAGTTTTTAGTAGTCTTTAGTACTGTAACTTGTATTCCTGCATGCACAGTGATCTAACGATGTAACTGTTACACTAATCCCTGCTTTCTCATTAAGGAATGTAGTGGAAGGACATGGGCACAAGCTATCACTTAGTCGTTAGACAAAATAATTAAGTGAAACAAAAGTGGTCTTGGTTCTCAGCAAATAATTGGGATAATTGTGGGATAAAAGAGACTCCTAAATAACTCTACTCCAGACAGCTCGGCCTTGGGAGGGCAAATGCGCCAAGCTACAGAGATAAGGAGGCACCAAGAGAGCAACAAGACTGGAGCAAAACAACCTGAAGGACACGATGGACGTGATGCTAGAACTGAGTTTGCGCAGAAACAAATGTCAATCAGTGAACAGCGTGATGAAGAGGATGGGCCTTCATCTTGGGACCCCCGAAGACCACCCAAAGATACTAACAGACATGCGTGAAAGATATTTACATATGCTAATTAGTTCCTAGAAATATAATGAGTATTTACATGTGTGATTGTATTTAACCTGAAGCAACAGGGTGTCTGGTGCGCACGTTTGGAGGAGAAATCCCCGGTGTGCCCGGCGCCGCAATAAAGAATCCCTGCTGAGCAGTGTACATTGTGCTGTGAGGTTTGCCTACCGGATCTTCGAATCAGGTTGGCCCCCCAGATGGGACCCATTCTGTTCGGCTGCGGGACCCGGTAAGAAGAGGACCCCCTTGGCCCAGCAGCCTCCCCAGCGCCGGGCCGGGAGGCCAGCAGCCATTCAGAACCGTCACCCGGGGCAAGGCCCCGCGGGGCTTACTTAAGTGAGCCTCCCTGGCCGAGGAGAGCGGCGTGGCGATGCTGGAGCCCACGTCCTGCAGCACACACTGGACCTAGGGGCAGCAATCGGGACAGAAATAAGAAGCACTTTCGTTAACCAGCCTTCGATGCTCCGGTGCAACTGCAGCAAAGCTCCGGGAGGCGACAGCTGGTTGTGCTGATTAAAGCAGATCCTACCCTTGCTGTTCATCATCCCCCAGCCTGCTGGCGGGGGGGATCAGATAAGTGCTCCCTAATTGCTTTATGAGAAGCCAGATTAGCGCATGTACTTGTTTTCACTGCCACATTAAACCACCCCGGCTGACTTTGCAGAAAGCAGAGCGGGGAGCGCTCACGCAACCCCTTTGCTGGTAGGACACCGAACCAGCAAGCTCTGCAAGGAAGGCAGCGCCGAGCAGCTGCAGACAGAGCTGGCCTGATGTCAGGTCCGCTTCCAAGAGGGGCATCTCTCCACAGCCCGGGATACCGGAGAGGCGGGCTGGTAAAGCTTTTTACAGTCTCTGGTTAGCTCCTGCTGCAGCCTCGTGCACAGCGCAGCTCGTTAGCGAACCTCGCAGGCTGCCACCGCGCCCACGTGGTTGCTTCGCCCCGATTTCAGATCCCAGGCTTCGTGACGACGAGATTTGTGCCCCATGTATGGTCCATAGGTCTAAATAAATCCAGAGGTACTTTTGTCTGCCCAGCACTAACCAGGTGCTGGTTTCACAGAATCCCAGCATGGCAGGGGTTGGCAGGGACCTCTGTGGGTCACCCAGCCCAACGCCCTGCCCAAGCAGGGTCACCCAGAGCAGGCTGCACAGCACCGTGGCCAGGCGGGGCTGGAATATCTCCAGGAAGGAGACTCCACAGCCTCCCTGGGCAGCCTGGGCCAGGGCTCCGTCACCCTCAGAGTGAAAGCCTTCTCAGTTAAGGAAATTTGTTTCTCAGAGAGTAATCGAGGGTCAATCTTAATTGATTTAATAATAGATTTGTTAAATTCCCGCGTGTCAGCGGGAGTGCTGTGTCTAAAATTAAAGAGTTTCAGAGTATTTTTCAGTAGCGCGGACGCACCGACTGCGCTGGGCGAGGGCCATCGCCAATACTCACTTTGTGCAGCTGCTCGACGAACGTGTGGCCCTTTTCGCTGCTAAACTCACCGGCAAGCCTGGGTTAAAAAAGAAAAAACAGAATAAATGGAAGGGGGTTAGCTGGAAATTTGTTGTTGTTGCTCGAAACG